TAGACCCAATCATTTTGTATGTTGGGATTATTTTTTTACAATGTGCCTTACTTCACATTTAATATTGAATTATACCTGCCATTTTGTTGCCCAGTCACCCAGTTCTGTGAGTTCCCTTTGTAATTCTTCGCAATCTGCTTTGGACTTAACTATCTTTTGTATTGTCTGCAAACATTGCCACCTCACTGTTCACCCTTTTCCACATCCTTTATGAATACGTTGAACAGCAGTGGTCCCAGTACAGATCCTTGGATGGGACCCTGCTATTTACTTCTCTCCACAGTGAAAACTGGCCATTTATTACTACCCTTTGTTTCCTGTCTTAACAAGTTACTGATCCACGCAGGACCTTCCTCCTTTTCCCATGACTCCTTACTTTGGTTAAGATCCTTTGGTGACGGATCTTCTCAAAGGCTTTCTGAAAGTCCAAGTGCACTCTATCCACTGAATCACCCTTGTCCACATGTTTGTTGACCCCTTCAAAGAAGTCCAAAAGATTGGTGAGGCACGATTTCTCCTTATAAAAGCAGTGTTAATTTTTCCACAACAAATTGTGTTCATCTAAGTGTATGACTCTTTGCTTTCGTACAGTTTCAATTTGGCTGGTACTGAAGTTAGGTTTACCAACCTGGATTTGCCAGGATTGCCTCTGGAGCCTTTTTTTTTTTTTTAAATTGGTGTTAAATCAGCCTCTGTACCAGATGACTGGTGGATAGCTAATGTAAGCAATAGGTCACATACCAATGTTAATAGTTCTGCAATTTCATAACTGAGTTCTTTAAGAACTCTTGGTTGAATATCTGGTCCTGGTGACTTCGTACTGCTTAAAATTTATCAATTTGCTCCAAATTCTCCTCTACTGACACTTCAATCTGGGACAGTTCCCCACAAGTACTCCTTTTCTAAAAAGAATGGTTCAGGTGTGGGAATCTCCTTCACATCATCTGCAACATAGACCACACAAAGAACTCATTTTGCTACTCTGAAATGGCCTTGTCTTCCGTGAGCGCTCCTTTACACTTCAATCATCCAGTGGCCCCACTAACTGTACGGCAGGCTTCCTGCTTCTGATGTACTTACGGTATTTTGGCTGCTAATTTGAGTCTTTTTGCTAGTTACCCTTTAAATTCTTTTTTGGCCTGCCTAATTATACTTTTATACTTTTTTTCTGTTTTCCTCAATATGATTCGACTTCCAATTTTCAAAAGATGCCTTTTTGTCTCTAACCACCTCTTTTCCTCTTCGGTTTAGCCATGGTGGCATTTTTGGTCTTTTTTTTTTTAATTTGGGGCATACATTTAATTTGAGCCTCTAATATGGTGTTTCTAAATAGTTTCCAAGCAGCTTGCAGGCATTTCATTCATGACTGTTCTTCATAGTTTCTGTTTAACTAGCTTGGTAATTTTTGTGTAGTTCCCCTTTTTGACATTAAGTGCTACTGTGGTGTGCTTTTGTTTCCCTCCTCCCCCACAAGGACATTAAATTTAATTACATTATGGTTGCTATTATGGAGCGGTTCAGCTATATTCATCTCTTGGACCAGATCCTGCACTCCACTTAGGACTAAATCAAGAATTGCTTCTTCCCTTGTAAAAAGAAAAGGAGTACTAGTGGCACCTGAGAGACCAACAAATTTATCTGAGCAAAGCTTATGCTCAAATAAATGTTTGTCTCTAAAGTGCCACTAGTACTCCTTTTCTTTTTGCGAATACAGACTAACATGGCTGCTGCTCTGAAACCTGTCATTATGCAAGGCACTTCTTCCCTTGTGGGTTCCAAGACCAGTTGCTCCAAGAAGCAGTCATTTAATATGTCTAGAATTTTTTTCTGTGCATCTAGTCCTGAGTTGACATGTACCCAGTCAATATGGTGATAGTTGAAATCCCCTATTACTGATAGGGGGCTTTGGGGAGAATTTTTTTTGTAGCCTTTCTAATCTCTCTTAGCATTTCACAATTATCGTCACCATCCTGCTCAGGTGATTGTTAGTGTATTCCTACTGCTATACTCTTATTCAAGCATGGAATTTCTATCCATAGAAATTCTATGGTACAGTTTGATTCATTTAAGATTTTTAGTATATTTAATTCTAAGCTTTCTTTCACATCTAGTACCACTCCCACATCAGCACAACCTACTGTCATTCCTCTAGATTTTGTATCCAGGTCCCACCATGTCCCATTGATTACTATTGTTCTAACAAGTATCTGATGCCTATTATATCAATATCCTCACTGAAGGCACTCAAGTTCACAGATCTTAGTATTTAGACTTCTAGCATTTGTACACTAGCACTTATAAAATTTGTCAATATTTAGTTGACTATCTTTTGTCTTCCTTGTTTGACTGTTTCTCTTCAGTTCCTTCCTGTACTTCACCAACTTCTATCCTTTCCTCTTTACTAGGCTATCCTAATATCCTCTTTAATAAATCCTCCTCTAAGAGATGTCTGTCTGAACTGTACGCTCCTCTGCACCTGTTGGCTTTCCCCAATCCTTAGTATAAAAACTCCTCTGACCTTTTTAATTTTACATGCCACTAATCTGCTTCCATTTTGGTTTAGGTATCATAGAATCATAGAATATTAGGGTTGGAAGAGACCTGAGGAGGTCATTCAGTCCAATCCCCTGCTCAAAGCAGGACCAACACCAACTAAATCATCCCAGCCAAGGCTTTGTCAAACCGGACATTAGTCAAGTCAAGCCCATCCTTCCTGTATAGGCTCCTTCTTTCCAAAAAGGTTCTTCAGTTTCTCAAACTGAAAACCCTCCTCCCAATACCATTATCTCATACATTCATGAAGACCCTGCAGTTCTGCCTGTCTAACTGGCCATGTGCATGAACTGGAAACAGTTCAGAGAATGCCGCCATGGAGGTCCCAGATTTTATTTTATTACCTAGCAGCCTAAACTTGGCCTGCAGGGCCTCTCTCCTACCTTTCCCTATTTCACTGGTACCTACATGTACTACGACCACTGGCTTCTCCCAAGCACTGCACATAAATATCTGGATGTCTCCAGAGGTCCACAACCTTCGCACTCCTAACCAAAAAAGGGTACTAAATGGCAAACTTTTTTGTTCACATAGTTGCCCAGTGAGAGCTCATGCCCTTCGAGAACACTGTTTTGAAAAACCTCAAACTTCAGAAAACCAGGAACACAGAGTTAAGTTACATGCCCATGTAACCTTAACTCTGCCCTCTGAGAGAACCCAAAACATCCATATCACACATACTTGCACTCTGCTTTTTCACTGTACATAAAAGGAGCTACCTGCATCTGCTCCACCCTCAAACACTTAGGGTACTCTCCTGACAGAATACCACACTTGTGAAATTTAACAACCACTTCATACTTACTCACAGGATACCAGTGAATGGGGTTCAGCCACCATTCGGGGGCAAGGAACCCCAGATTATAGCTCACCTGAAGGTAGGGCAGGGAGAGAGGCTCAGACTGCCCTAGAGAGGCAAAGGGCCCCCAGATCCTGGCCCGCACACACACAGAAGGGGAGAACATGGGGTTGAGACAACCTTGCCCCCATTCTCCCCTAGTCACCCTGCCACTCACCCCTATGTCTCCTTCCCAGTGTCCCTCTCCTTTACCTGAGCTACCCAATTCCCCTCACCACCCTCCACCATCCATCCTCATTTATCCCACTCCCCATAATCCCCCCTCCCCTCAATGCAGCCCCAAACTCCTCTCATTCCTATTCCCCGCCACTCGTCCACACTAAAATGTCTCTTACCTGCCAGGAAACAGTCACATATCTTTTGTGGGGGGAGGGACAGGAGAAAGGTAATCAAAGTACTTTCACTCAAAACAACCAAATCACCACACCTGACGAGAAATTTTAGCAATGTGATTCTGACCTTTTCAAGATTTCTGCACTAAGTGCACACACAAAAAAAAGGTTGCCAGAATAAGTCAACTTTAAGAAAAGCTTCCGACCCCCCACTCTTACCATCCCCCACCCTGGGGTGTATCTTAAGAATCCCTTGACTAAATGGTTCTGAACTTGGATCACTGACCCTACCCTGAATCCCCATGAGGCACACCAAATTTCAAGGCAACTCAAGTAACCATACAATTTTAGAGTATTTAGAACAGTCAGACTTTAAACAGAAAGCTGGTCTGACCCAGAACTATATCAGAGCTGCTGCTCTGCTACAATCCTTCCTCTCTACCTGCAGCTCTAACTGATGTCAATGTGAGCTGAGTGCTCAGCATCTCTGAAAATACAAGCATATTTTAAAAAGAAAAGGAGGACTTGTGGCACCTTAGAGACTAACATTTATTTGAGCATAAGCTTTTGTGAGCTACAGGTAGCTAAATTTGATACATTTTACCGTTGATTTAATCTGTTTGGTCTAGAGACTAATTATTAGACATTCAAAAAGCAAAACTAATCATGAAAGCAAATCTCTGAATATTTGAGATTTATCCATCCTAATTATAGTACACATCTACATTATGTTAACACAGCAGTATTTACTGGAAAATAATAAGGGCCAATTTGTCAAAAATTTGGATTCCATATAGTTACACAGTAGAGAAGAATATTCCCTTCAATACAGGAATTATTGGGTGAAGGACTATGGCTTGTGTTGTGCAGTAGGTCAGAACAGAAGATCAAAGTGGTCTTTTCTGATCTTAAAAAGAATCTATTAATTGTGCCAGTTTGTACAGCTAGAAGGTCACAGAAGCCCAACTTTACTGGGAAGAAGAAATGGATTCTACAGACTTGAGGGGGCTACTGCTCCACAAACTGCACTCTGCTGAATCATGTTCTTTGTAAGCCAGATTTTAAAAGTTACAAAGGAAGAAAAACTTTCAAAGCAATCAGCTACATCATTCATTAAGTCAGCAAAAAAAACCCAAAACAAACAAGAAACCCTCCCAACATATGCAACAATAAATCCTCCCACCAATGATATGTCAGCAAAATCTAATTAGTCAGTTTTTAAAAGAACATCTTTGTTTATTGTCAATCAGGCTTACCGTTCTCTGTTAAATTTCAGAGAATGAAGAATAGCAGGCCGTTTCTGTCTTAGGTTCCACAAATGAAGTGTGTCATCAGCACTCGCACTGACCAAGGCACCCTACAACAATCAGAACCAGAATATGGTGGAATGTTATTCATTTGCATATTGAAAGGGAAGATTATTTCAGAATAAGACAATGATCTGTCAGACAGCAGTACAACATCTGTGAAACCCTTACTTTCCTTCTGAAAAAAATATTCTGCAACAACCATTACTTTGCTTTGACTGATCCTATACTAACTCAAAATGTTCCAATTTGAGCTGATCTGGAAAATGAAATAGCTCATTCTAGAATTAAACATTTGATATTAAATGTGTTTCTGATTGATAAACCAGGAAGAGTGCGAAAGAATTGGAATAAGAAGGGAAGAGGTATTAGCTTGAAAAGAGGGGTTTGAAGGAGGCAGTTGAAGCAAGGACAGAGTGCTTAGCACACAAGGAAAGGGAGACTGCCCCAGGCACAGTATAATAGTCAGGTCAAGATAACAGAAAATGCAAAATCAAGAATGAGAAAAGGACATGAAAGTAAGAGGATAGGGATGAAAGTAGGGAGACTGAGCAGGGGAAGTCAGAACAGAAACGCAGATGGCGCCGGGGAACAGGGTCTGGGGACGCGGAGCTTGCCAAGCTACACCACCCTGCCCACCCAGCACTACTGTCTGAGGAGCAGGGGCTTTCCCCACCCACCTGGAGCTCTGGGCCCCACAGTTGGCTGGGGCCCTAGAAACAGGCCCTGTAGGCCCAGTGGCTAATCTGCCACTAGTGGACAATTGTGTGTGTGTGGGGGGAAAGATTTTGGTTACAATAAAGAGGAAGAAGTGATGTAACTTAAAGATTGTGCTCTCCCCATCCCTTCTCCTATAGTCAAAGATTATGGGCCTGGGAAATAGGAAGGAAAGTGGAGTTCTCAATCAAGATAGAGAAGGGAAGCAGAGGAGGAGGAGGAAAGGTGATAAGACTAGAGTTTGAGATGGTGATTGAACATCTATTGTCCCTCTGGCATCTATTCTTAGATGTGAGTGGATACAGAGTGAGAGGTAAACCCAGAACTATCAGATTTGATATGGTAGTTAAACATATACACAGAATAGAAATAGGAGAGGACAAAGAAAAAACCCTACAGAAAACCCCACAGATAGGAGAAAGGAAGCAAAGGAGCTAGAAAAGAAGACACTGAATGAATAGTCAGTAGGGGAATACAAGGTCTAGGGGAGCACAGAACCACAAAAGCTAAGATTGGAAAGAAAGCAGGGGAAGCAAGAGTGATTCACATGACAAAACGATGGCACACATTTTTTGATGTTCACATATACTCCAAAAGTAACTGTCTCAACTTTAGCATAAGTAGGAAAGGCGTAATAGAAATGTTTCATTCAATTTGAATATGTATCTGGTTCCTTTAAACGCCATGTAAAATGTATTTAAGTTTTAAATACCTATGTTAAATTATTTTGCCTAAGAGTATGCTCTAGGCAGTTACACCTATAGTTAAGGTTGCCTGAGACTTTCTATTATAAGGTCCTATTTTCAGTTGCTTATAACTTTTGCCAAACATTACCTGTTCAGGCTGAAACATTCCATGCCATGTGTTTGCCTCAAGCTGAGTTTTTCTGGGAAGTTTCAGCTAAAATATTCAGTCATTTCTCAGAACAAGATTAGGAAAAAATGTTGTTTTGCACGTGTAAAAATGGTTGTAAATTTTTTTTGTTGAGAAACTCCAATGCCTCCTTGCTTTGGAGCAGGAGCCTGAAGTTTGTCAAGGGGTGGTCTGTGTGTCAGGGATGTGCCTTTTGCCTTCCTCATGAAAGTCTGCCCAAATGTGGACAGTTTAGGAGCCTTTCAAAAAAAAACCAAACACACATACAGAGGTTGCACATGCTCGTGCTCTTATTAGAGTTTGAAAGCTGCATTCTCTGAGGATTCTGTCTGCACTGAGCAAGCTCCAACCCGCACAGCTCCTCCATGCTGACTGGACTGTGTATGTACCATCTTCAGAGTGACCGAAGTAAGCTCCATCCTGTAGCTGCAGGGACTGAGGCTTATCTCTATTGCTCCTCCCAGCTGCAGGGACTGCTGTGGCACCAGAACTTTGAGCAGAGAAACTCTCTCCTGTAGTCAGCGTTTCCCCCTCCTTCCAGCACACATGCAGTATGGAGAAAGAGGAAGCTGCCTGACTTGAATTGGTGGAGGGAGGCCCGATACCCCATAATCAATCATTATTTCCATTTCCAGAGTAAGTTTCATTCAGGGGGTGGATCCCAAATCACTTTGTGTAGTATTTATAGGGATCAGTTTTTATTATTCTGAGTTCCCTGAGACTATGACGTTTCAGCTAAGCAGAAATTTTGTATTAGTGCCATTTTTGTTAGTTATTAATTTTCTATCTCATAGATGTCTATGCAGTGAGGAAGATGATCCAAGAATTTAGGTTACACATATGCAGCTCGCTGTGTGTTCAGTATTTCACATCACCATATAAAGGCCCTGATTCTATCACCCATACTTATCTTGAGTAATACCTTATACTACATGTAGTCCCATTCATTTAAACAGGACTACGTACACAGAAAATTATATTTGAGTGCAAGTGTGAGCAGCAGAATCAGGTCCATAGGGCAAACAAAGGGGCCAGCAAGAAACTATCTGGAAGTTACATTGCAAAAATATATAGACTGTACCATTCAACCATATTTAAAGAAAATTCTGCACACTGTACATATAGCCTTACCTCATTGATTAAGAATTGGAGCTGCAGTACCGCGGCACCACTTTCGTGTTGGCAGTAGCAATCAACACCGGGTCTGCCCAGTCTGTTGCAATCAAAGTCAAGGATTCTGACATTTTGGTTATCACCAAGAGTAAACAGCCAAGAGGACACAAACAGAACTCTCTTGCAATTAACCTTAGATTTAACAATCATTCTTGCTTTCTCTAAAACACGCTAATCTTCAGCCATTCTAATTAAAGTATCAGCACTATCACCCTGAAACATGCAATTACGAGTGATATGTTCTTGGCTATATTCCTCCCTATGAATGGAAGTGCATAAATTATCATGAAGATACAGCGAAAACACATCTTAAACTCCAATTTGTTTTATATCATCTTCGTAGTATGTGTTCATATTACAGCTGTACACATCAGATGTTTTTGATTATTAGTTTTGTATTACCTCGATAATTTAGGAGCAGGGTCAATAACATGTTATGCACCATTTACACTGTTTTTTCCCTAAAGAGTGCATATTATTTCAAGTGAATAATTTTGCCTTTTTATTATGTTCTACCTGTAATTGTTACTCCATTCTCTGAATGCAACTTTCTGCATAGGTCTGTTCTCCTTGGCTCTTTTGTCTCTGAAATCTATTTTTAGGCAATAAAGACTCTCTTAAGGATGGCAGTGTGCTTTGCATCTTAAAAGTGTGCATGTGTCAATCCAACTCTTCATTCTTTCTAAACTAAAAAAAAAGTTACAGTCTAAACAGAATAATAAGAAAATCTCACAATTTTACATAGCCGACAAGTTAAAAGAGCATTACTGTTGCAGGTAAAGGACACTGAGTGATTCTCCCCTGGAGAATCAAAGCTCTTTACAATATCAGTAAACTTTGGTGTGTGATACTCAGAAAGATCTGTGCAACCAAGATGGAGAGATCCAATCCATAACTCCTCAGGAGTTAATTATAGCAACGAGAATGATCAAATATCTACATTGTAACACTATCTGAAATTCACCTATATGCAGAGGGGGCCTCCACAAAGACTATACACTTTTATTCCCTCTTACACCTTATTTTGAGGAGATTTAGGCGCCAGTCAAAAATCTGTGTTCTTGTAAAGGAGAGGGGCAAGCAAATACTGTACCCTTTCAAAGCGTAGTAGAGCTTCACTCCAGCTTGAGCTCTCTCAGACTCCCTGAACACATTCTGGGAGAATTAGGAGTTCCTGTTTAGTCTGACCACTCTGAACTAGAATCCTGAAACCCAATCTGGACACCATGGGACCCAACTACAAGTGTTGGGTCTAGGTTGTGTTGGGTGGGAAAGCAAATGGACCCTCTTGATCTTGGATCAGGTCTCTTCCACCTGCCTGTGGAGTTGGCACAACATTGGCAAGAGCTGGGCACAGCTCCCACAGGCAGGAGGCAGCGCAGCAGTGACTCAGGTTCGGGGGGGAAGGGTCAGGTCAGAAAATGACCCCACCCTCGGGCCCAGGTTGGGCCAAAAAATTAGGCTGGAGTATACTCTACTCTAAACCTCCTCTTCCCCCAAATACAGGCCATGGTTTTAAGTCTGTATCTCATCCTAAATCCCCTAACCTGAGTCAAGATTAAAATCTCAAATAAACTGGCATGTACTCAACATAGTTTTAGCTCCAGGAGCATAAGGTGTACTATATAAGAAATAAGATGTCTTTATCTCAATTTTAAATAGCTTTCACAGAAGTATAGAAGCTTGGAAAGGTAGCAATTAACTGGTAGTATTTGTTTACTATCAAAATTTGGCATATTTAAATTGCTTGACAAAGCTTGCTGTGATAAATATGGGAATTTTACGATGCTCATGTGTACCTCATTTTCCCTCTGTGCTTTGTACTGCTATTCACTGAGTGTAAAGAGCAGGATACATTAGGTGTTTGAGTCATTTATTTGTCTGGGGTGATATGACCAGGTCATAAAGTACTGGCTGGAACCAATGTATATCAATGGAAGACCCTACAGAGACAACGGGAACCCCAATCACTGAAGATTAACACCTAACTGCAGAGACTGAACATAGCATGGCTGTGTCCAGAGAACGAAGAGAGGTGTCAGGGGTCTGTTTTAACTACTGGCCTCAGAGACACAGGAGATCTCACCTGAGAAAAAGGGAAAGTTACAAGAGAACAGAAACTAAGCTTAAGGGAGCCCTGGGCTTTAGACAGAACGGACTGTCTTAATCTTTGGCCTCTCTGTTGAAGAAAGGATTTCCCAGTGCTGTATTCCAGTTGACTAATCAACCTTACTCTCTCTTGAAAAAGGCTACATCGAGTCACTGCCGATACTTGCTGAAGTGCATTGATCACTGAAAGGAGTAAAAGTCTCTGAATAGGACTCTGCTTCGGTCGCATTCACTGGGCAGAGCTCACGGTGAGAAACAGGAGTGCTGGAGCCAAGAGGCTCAGTCTAGGAGTTGCTGCGGCCAGATGGCCTATGCTTGTAGAAAAGTGTAACCCGTTGGGAGCTTGGCCCATTGAAGATGTCCGCCCCAGACCCATGACACCATAATGCTAGCTCAATATCCAGCCTCCCACAGGATATTACAGGGAAGAGTAGGAAATCATCTGGTCAGCCACGCTACCACCAGCAATAACTATATGAGGAGTGGCTTAGTTAGCCCACACAGGAAGGAGTACTGTGATAGCCTTCAGTAGCTAGGGTGACCAGATGTCCCGATTTTGGGATCTTTTTCTTATATAGGCTCCTATTACCTCCCACCCCCCGTCCTGATTTTTCAGACTTGCTGTCTGGTCGCCCTACCAGCAGCAGTCCTGACTGGAGCTATGGGACTACTCACTGCAGAAGAACACGACTCCTAGTAGCAAGTTGTGTCAGGACCAGGTCCTTGAAGTCTGATCCCAAACCCACTGAAGTCAAAGGAAAGTCTCCCACTGACTTCCATGGGCTTTGTGTTGGACCCCAAGGGTCTGTCTACACTGCAATAAGACACCCAGAGCTGGCCTGCATCAGCTGACTCTGGCTCCAGCCCAAGCCCAAATGTCTACACTGCAATTGTATAGCCCCACAGCCCAAGCCCACGTCAGCTGACACAGGCCAGCCTTAGGTGTTTAATGCAGCGTAGACATCTGTAGTTAGCATGCACAAGAACTGCATGGTCACAGAACTGTAAGTACAAACAGATATAGCTAATGTGAAAAGCAGCTGACATAGCTACAGACTTACTTTGTCATTTATATAAAAGTGATTTTCAAATTCTATGCTCCAAAGTGTTTTCAGTTGAAAAGATATATACAGAAAAGACAGTGATGGGCGAGAGAGAAGGAATTACACAATAAACGTTTTTAAAATTATTCTTGTGAACTCAACTTTTCCCACACAGAAGTAATGAGTTTATCAGAGTGATCTGAATAAAAATAAGGTGGCAGTTTTGTGTACTAGGATTCATTGGATACAAGATAAGATACAGAAGAGCATGGAGACAGGCATGGTAAAAAGAAACAAGTGGTGGAGTTGTGGGAGATATGAAGAGACAAGGTCCAATGTTCATATTGGAGCTTTTTAGGGACTTGAAGACAAACAAGAACTTTATACTTAATGCAATGGATAAGGGGAAGCCAGTGGCAGGTTTCAAAGATGGGGTGAGATGGTTAAAGGAACAGGCAAGAAAAATAATGAGATCGCTTAAATTAAGTTCTTGGCCTCAGCGATGACACATGACAGTGTCTCACAGTCTAATTACACATTGTGTAAGAAGTTTTATCACTGTTGAATTTGTCGTTATTCAGTTTCACTGAATGGCTCTTTCTTGTTCTATGAGATGGAAAAAAAAAGCAGAAGTACACAATTCACCTTTTCTATACCATGAATTTTTTATCATGTTCCCCTCTTATGTCTCCCTTCTAAGAGATGACGGAAAGCCCTAGTCCAAGAGAGAACGCAACGGAGACTGAGGATGGGAGAGTTGGACTGAGTGGGAATTCCTACAGCTGAATATCTTTGCTTTAATTTGAACTTTACACTTCATTATAAATAAACGACACTAGCTAATGCATTCCCATTACATGGGAAATTATGCCAATGCTGTTCTTAACCAGCTATCACCACCATTCACCATCGAAAGGTGAAATCAGTCTTCTGGGAGAAAAACCGAATGAAGCAGATGACTCCATTCAGCGTGTCCCAAATAAAAGTGTACAGGATATTCTGTTTACATACATCACTTTTCACTCTGAAGTGAATGTTTATATTAATTATAAGATGTAAATTATACCTGTCTGGCCAGTCATTCCGAAGCAGGGATTCACACCAAGACAGTAGGCACTGTCACAGCTTTTGGAATCCTACTGAGTGGCAGCAGCTTTCAAATATGCTAGTAGCTGTGTTGGGGACCCTGTAAACAGTTCATTCACCACAGGTGCTCCTCCTTGTGGGAATTAGCTCTCCCTGCATGTGGTGCGCTCACCTGTTGGTTGCTCAGGCTGTGGTTCCCTCCCTCCCTCTCCAGACTCAGGGTACTCACTCTTTGTGACTGAGCCCTCTAGCCAGGTCACTATGTAGTCCCCACCTTCCAGGTTAATAAAATCCTACCAGACAAGCGATACACACTCTTCCTCAGATGCTCTTCTAGTCCAGGTCTTGTGCCACTTTCCCAGAGGCTGGTAGGGTAATCACCTGTGCACTGAGTTCCAGCCCAGGGACCCTACAACTAGCAATTCAGCTTTGTTCAGTCTCAGACCTTGTTACTGTTTCCCTAGGCTCCTTCCTACCCCCCCCCTCTCTGTAGCCTTACTATAGTTTACCATCACAGATTCCTCTGCTCCCCATGACTACTTCACCATTCTCACCCTCTTGCTGGACTCCCCAGGGCAAGACCCTGGGCTTATTCTCCGTCTGCATTGCCTCCTTATCCCTAGCCAACTCCCTTTCCCTCCAGAGACTGACTGCAGACATCCTCTCTACGCTCACCTCCTGATTTATAATCCTATCCCAGCTCCTCCCCGACCTGGGCTTCATCTGCCATTAGGCCCTATTCCCCTCCAGGTGCAGCATATAAGGTTAACTAGGTCCTTCTGGCCCATACTAACCCACTCAG